TGAGGGGTCCGCACGGAGTCGCATGCGAGCGTCTAGTGTTTGAGGGGTACTCACGGAGTCGCAGGCGAGCGGCTGGGCGAGCTGGCGCACGGCGCCGCGGCCGAGCGCCTCGCGCTTGCGTTGTGCGCTGAAGAGGCGCAGCTCCTTGCGCTCCTCGTCGCTGAGCGCGTGGCAGTAGCGGCCCTCGTTGTCGTGCGGCGGCAGCTGCTGCAGCAACTGGCGCACGCGGTAGCGCTCGCCCGCCGAGTTCACGTACGGCACCTTCTCCTCGGGCAGCGCGCTGAAGTACACGTGCACCTGCGCACACCACACACACGCACGTCAGCCACCAACACAATAGTTGACAACCCAATTTGCTAATATTAACAAATAATTAGATAAAATCTCTCTCTCTCTCTCTTCTCGGTATACACACACACACACACATATATAAATGGATATTGGTATATATCAAATAGGAAACTCCGACACCGCGTGATCGATCCACATAAACGAAGGCACATCAATGTGTTTGTACACCGAGGTTTATGTGCTGTTCATTTTGTGGTAATTCCACTATGTAGCACTGCAGGACAAAATTGCGCTTCATTTTAATTCAATTTCCATACATACTGCGCTCTACCTGGTCTTCATTGTTGCGGAACGTTGCAGTGTGACCCAGGGCGAGGCCGAAACGTTAGGTGAGAGACACAAAAAGACACGGGGACTCAGAAAAAGGGAGAAACAGGAGCAGAGAGACAGATACAGGCAGGGAGAGGGACAGGGAGAGAGATACACATACAGGCAGACCGAGACAGGGACACAGAGAGAGAGACGGAGACATAGAGAAACGGAGAGATAGAGATACGATGAGAGAGACGAGGAGAGAGATGGAACGAGAGACGGAGAGAGAGACGGTGTGAGAGACGGAGAGAGAGACGGAGAGAGAGACGGAGAGAGAGTCGAAGAGAGAGTCGGAGAGAGAGTCGGAGAGAGAGTCGGAGAGAGAGTCGGAGAGAGAGTCGGAGTGAGAGAGACGGAGAGAGAAAGGAAGATGGAAGGAGAAAGAGGGATATGATATGTCTGTCGGGTTCCGCTAGCATCTATATAAATAAAAGAATATGCGTATGTGTGTCGAACAGATACGCAAGAAATGACAAATTTCACTGAAATTTTCGTACTTTGTTTTTCTTAGTAATGGGAGTGGTTAAAGAGTGTTTTGATTGAAATCGGACATCTAGGGGCGTTGTTAATAATGCTTTATGTGTTTATAACCTGAATTTCACGCAACCCGTTGCTCAGAGAAGGATTAAGTGTATTTTCACTGCATCCAAATATTCTGTCTTTGCGATTGTGAATATCAGCCGGAACTATTACATGAATCTCTGACAGGTAAATATTTTTTTTTCCAAAATGGTGTCATAACGAACGTGTGCCAAAATTTCGGCGAAAACGTAATAACAATAGGATACTTGACAACCACGTCCAAACCAGAATATATAACAAACCAATACTTGCGAGAAAGTGTTTCATCTATTAGAATATTTTTGCACAGTTCATCTTAAAGTGTGATTAACAATCACGTGACCAGTAGTGTGTGATGTGTAATACATTGCAATAGCGAAGCATTGTCCAGTCCACTAATAATGTAATAAAAACCAATCATTCAAAATGTATTTTTAAATTAGTAAAAATGAAAGAAGGACGTAATACTCATGCTTCATTAGTATGAAATTAATTTACTTGAAATATACGCAAGAGTTTTCGAAATATTAAAAAATTCAAAGTCTGAACTGAAATGATCCCCTTGCTGGAGCAGCGAGATCGCTGGGGCGAAGGGTGGACGGGGCAATTGGACGATGGGGCGGCCACGGGACAACGAGGCGTCGGGGAGGCGGGGTAAGCAAGCGGCGGGGATGGGAAAGGACGGGGCGATGGGCCGTCAAGGCAACCGGCGACGAGACCGGGCGGCGGGGTGGACGGTGGCTGGTACAGCGGAACGGCAAGAGGCTTGAAGTCCACGCGGCG